GTGACCCTACAGGGAACACGCCGCTTGCTCCCCACTTCCCCCTCCCCCCGAGAGGAGACACAGGAAAGAATCCGATTCAAATAGAGCAAGAGGGAAATTATTTCCATACAGCTGCCCAGAGCGCCGCGAATGGAAAGCTCGCCCAGTGGCATTTCAGAAGAAAGGATCTGTTTCCTTCTTCTTGGTTCTCTCTCTGCCTCCCTCTTTCTTTCTTTAGGGGTGGGTTACAGAGCAGTCAGCAGTATTTGCACAGCTCAGCAGGACTGATTGCAGGTTATTAACATACATTATCTCACTCCCCTGCCTCTGAAAAGAGTGGAGTTCCTATTCTTCCCTCTTCCCCCTCCTTGTCTTTTACACTTAATTACCTCACTTATTACACCCCAGCCGGAGAGAGAGAGAAATCACAGGACACTGGGCAGGCAGGCAGGCATCTCGGCACAACTAGGGCGTGAGTAATTGCCTATTCTGCTAACGTGCCTTCAAGGAAGGAAATCACACACACACACACACACACACACACATAAATAAATAAGGGACGCAGGGCTTGAAAGCACAGGGATCCTTCCATGCATGGGGGGAGGGCAGCGGGGGCCACAGCATAACCAATGGCATCTAAATAAAAGGTTCCAGTCCCAGCCCTGAAAGGGATGCAGTCGGGATGTGACCTCGGCTCATCCTAAGGGGACTTGCGACCTTGAACTTGTCGGGCCGGTGATGTCACAGATCCTTGCTGGAGAGACAGATGGGGTGTGATGTCACAAGGAGACGGGACTGTTCTTTCAGCCTGCCTGGTAGGAGGCTTTCCCAAAGCGCAGGGTGGTCGGGTGTTTGAATCCTGGGCTTTGCTTTGGCCCGTTATAGAGAGGGGCATTTGAGAAGCTCAGATCTGAATCCAGCCCAAAGTTTGAGGGCTTTTGGATCTGGGGAGCACAGTCAAGCCCTGAGTCTCTGAGGTAAGTTTACTCTGCAGAAGAAGGAGAAGAGAATTTCTTAGCGGGGGAAGGGTCCCACCAGGATGTTTGGGTGGAGAGGACGGTGCTCCGAGTTTTCCTGAGCACGGTTTTCCAGGTTGATCAGCTGCTCTGCCTGCACAGGACTCCAGCCCAAGAGCTTAGCCCATCCCAACAGCGATGCAATTCTCCACTGCCTGGTGACCAAAGGTGGAAGGTGACCAAACAGTCCCCTAAGCCCAATCTGAGTGGGTAAAAGGGGCAGGCCTCTCTCAGCATAAGTGTGAGAGGTGAGAGCATGGGGCGGTCTTGGCATCTGGAGCCATCTCACCATTCTACAGAACAACGAGGCTCCTTTGCACGAGAAGGTACGAGGGGTTTCACTGCATTTCCCAGGCTCAGGTCAAATGCCAAACTTCTGTCAATGAGACCAGTCTGTTCCTGGACCTCTGCTGTAATATAAATAATAGTAAACCCATCACTGCTCCCTATATCATAGAATCATAGACGTGTAGGACTGGAAGGGACCTCGAGAGGTCATCCAGTCCCCTCCACCCAAGGCAGGACTAAATATTATCTAGATCACCCCTGACAGGTGTTTGTCCAACCTGCTCTTAAAAATCCCCAATGACGGAGATTCCACAATCTCCCTAGGCAATTTATTCCAGTGCTTGACTAGCCTGACAGGTAGGAAGTTTTTCCTAACGTCCAACCTAAACCGCTCTTGCTGCAATTTAAGCCCATTGCTTCTTGTCCTATCCTTGGAGCATAAGGAGAACAATTTATCTCCCTCCTCCTTGTAACTTGAAAATGGTTATCATGTCTCCTCTCAGTCTTCTCTTCTCCAGACTAAACAAACCCACTTTTTTCAATCGTCCCTCATAGCTCAGGTTTTCTAGATCAGTCTGGGTAGAGACCAGACCCGTCACCCCAGGAGAGGCCAGCCCAAAGCACCCTCCAGAGAGATGTGAGGAGTGTTCAGTCTAATAGCACTCTACGGGAGGCCCTAAGAGTCAGCTGAGCCGGCTCCTATCACAGGCTGGGAACAGTTTAAACAACTCCTTGAACCAGGTGCGAGGTGCTGAGTGGAGCAGCACTTGTCTCAGCCTGGAAACAAAGCCGAGGGCCCCCTGAAGTGGGCCGGAAAAGGTTGGGAAGTTGTTTGTACTCCCTAGCCCAGGTGCTGCAGTTAACCTGCCTCGCATGGGAAAGGATCAATATGACTGCAGTGCAGTTGTACCCGGGCCGGTCTCACCCACCTTGTCTCTCTGGAATACTTGGCTGGCATCCTTATTGATTGTTATACTAATAGTACTGAGCGTTTTCCATTGCAACGTCCTGTGAAGTGTGTAAGAGTCCCCAGCAGACAGGCCCTGCTCTTGGAGTGGCTGCTGGCAGTGTATAAGGAACTAGTATTAGTTAAGTGCTGACAAAGTGCTGGCACCTGAGAAGGTGCAGAAGACGCCCTGGTCCCTTCCCAAGGAGCTTGCAGGCATAGGACACAGGCAACCCAAAACACAGCGCACTGGAGGATCCAGGGGAAGGCTCTGTCCTGTTTGTGTGTTAATGTAATGGCTGGGTGGGTCTGTAGCAGACATTGGTTTTGAGAATGGATTTGAAGGACAAGGGAGCAGCCCACGGCCACAGAACAAGGCAGTGGCAGACACAGGATTAGAATTCAGGCACTCCCAGCTCCTAGCCCCACACTTAATCGAGTCTAGGGGCTGTGGCTTCACAGCTGAGGTTGGATGAGGCGATTCATCAGAAACCCTCTATTTTACCCCCTCCTTCATTCTCTGAAACAAACTTCCCTAAATGTGAACCATCTAGAACATGCAGGGATAGATTGTCAGAAGATGACAGGCTCTGCTCTTGAGTCCAGAGAGGTCCATAAACCCCAGGAGTGTCTCTGAGGGGTGTGGAAAACTTACCCACAAAACCCCGCCACTAGGTAACATGGGTTCTTTGGTGCGTTTCCCGTTTGCCATTAGAGAAACGTACCCGTCACAGCTCTCCGTATAAACACGGAAGTTCTGAGGTGGGATTTCCCTTTGGATCAGCTCAATGTAGAGCAGGAAGGAGCAGTATTTTCAAGGGCTTTTATGTTACTTCGGTTTGAAATTGTGTTTCTGAAGCAAATTATCTACCTGTCGTATGAGGACACTCCTGGAACAGTGGGAGGAGGGAAATAACGGGAAACTTTAACCCAGCTCCTTGTAGGGGCAACATGATCTGATGGGGCCTCCCCTAGCTGGGATATTCGTGCACTATTGCAATAGGGGAGTAAACTCGCTGCTGGTTTCAGAGTAGCAGCCGTGTTAGTCTGTATCCGCAAAAAGAACAGGAGTATTTGTGGCACCTTAGAGACTAACAAATTTATTTGAGCATAAGCTTTCGTGGGCTACAGCCCACTTCTTCAGTGGAGTGACACCAGTCAACAATTTGGCCCAAGCAGTGACAAATTCAGGGCAGGCCAAAAGCATTTAATAAACTGCTGGGCAGTTCGGAACTCCTTACTCGCCCTCCCGTCCCTGGGATTCTGGCCTAATTGTGGGCCACACGAATGAACACTGATTGCCCAGCTAGTGCTGAGAGCGGCCAAGGGCTTACTCGCAGAATCTCTTCCCTGGTGTCCTTAACCTGCCATGTGCGTGCATTTCTGCAAGGCAAACACATTCTGCGGAAGGCAGAAGCCTGCCTGAAACCCGCTTGGCAGTAACAGCAAAGGCAAATAGCCCAGCTTCTTGAAAGGGGAACAATGTACCCCAGACTAGCCCCTCTTTTTGTTTTAGATCTGCCTGGGTCACTGGTTATTGCCCACCTTTGTTGAACTGGGAAATCAAAATGCACTCCCCTCCCCCCGCATATGGATCTAGACTGTATTATTCACAGGGTCTTAAAACACACTGGTTGCACCAAGACAAAGGAAACAGAGCCAGAGAGTTCATCTGAACAGCCTCTCTCCCTCTGCACCCCTCTTTCTCAGACTTCCTCTCTCCTCTTCCTCATGCACGCGTCTCTATTGTCTGCTGTGGGTGGACTGGAGGAAAGAAAGAGAATTAAAGAAACCCACCCACCCAGCCGGGGGAGAATGAACTGCCGGATCATGTTCAGGGGCTTTCACTGCATCGCTGGATATTTCCTGCCTCAGAACATGGGGTTGTATGACCGTGCAGATGATTGTCCTTGCCATGGTGTGGTGCCTTTTGAGTGTGTGTGTGTGTGTGTGTGTGTGTATTTGTTGAAGAAAGTTCTCTCTTTATTCTGGAGCATGTCTCAGTGCTGAGCACCGCCCCTGCCTGACACCTGTTCCCCCCCCCCAACTGAGACTCAGACCAAGGGCTCTGTGTCTAAGTGTTAAGCAGATGGGCAGTGGGCCATCTCTCCGCCCCCAATTTTCCCCCCTTGTCTTCCTTCTTGCCCCGCCTCCTTTCACTTTTTCTCCATCTCTTTCCTTTTTCCTTTCTCTTTCACACACTTTACCCATCTCTCTCCCCCTTCGCCTCTCACTCTCTCTCTCTTTCACACACCCACACACCCTTTCTCTGTCTCTTTCCCTTTCTCCCCCACCCCACCCCACCCCAGTGCCTCGCCTGCCTGCCCAGCCGGTTCACTGGTAATGTGATGATTGTCCTGGGGGACATTTGATGGATTAGAGAGCTGAACAGCTCCATCGCAAAGCACCACCTGATCTCCAGCCTGCGTCCCATATAAAGACAGCGGGCCCTGAGCGCTGAGCTCAGCTGTGTGTGCCA